CAGCAGGTACAGGTCCTGGGGCCCTGGGGCTTAAGACTCTCTGACACCTTAGCTTCCTGCTGTGCTTGTCACAGGTGTGGCACATCCAGACCTAACAGGCCAAAAATTCATGAGTCACAGGCCTGCTTGGTACTTGCCCTTTTGCATCAGTGTGTGGAGATAGCCTGGTCAAGGATACAGGCCCACATGCACCTATGGACATCTGGACAGACACACCTGGCCCCTGACTGTGATGCTGCCTGCCAAAGAGGGTCAGTCCCCCAAGCAGGGTCAGAAAATGTCTCTCCTTCACTCCCAATATAATTCTCCAGCCACGTGAAATATCATGGTGTAACTGCCTTGTCTTGAGTAGTGAAATTTACAAAATCACATTTGCTTACATGATTTGTAAGTCATGATGAAAACAAAAAATTTAAGAGTAGGAATTGTCCTGGAGAATCTGCAGTTTGGACATCTAGCAATTGTACTTCGCAAGGTAAGAAGTTACTTCCTGTTGGGAATGAGGAATGGGCCTGTTTGAAGGTGAATCAAAAGTGATATTAGAGCTGACAAATATGTCATTAACTCTTGTGAAGACCAAGAGAAATGGAACTGTTTATTTGAAAGAATTTAGAGGAGCTAAAATCCAATGCCTCTTTCATAAACAATATTTAACTAAGTTATTGAACTGGAAATTAATATGATACTGATTTGTTCTCAGCTCATGCTTTAATGAGGTTATACATTTGTGTATTTAATTTGATAAATTGATTTGATAAATAATTGGATAAATAATCTATTACAAATAGAAACTGAGTATAAATGAGTTTGAAGTTCCAAATATTGCTTATTAAGATTATTGTCACTGTTTGGTTTTTAATTTTTTAACCTACATTTAGCTGCCTATGGCAGCATTTTATATTTCTCTAAATGCGGGAAGTTCTATGATGGACCCCAGAGATCAGCAGCAGTCAAAACCCAGTTATTCCTGTCACCCCAGGTGGCCTAAACTCCAACAGCAGCTCCTGGCACTGAATCCCCCACGCTATGCACAGAGCTTGTGAGGGGACAAGGATTCCTCTGAAGCCCTGAGGCATTACAATCCAACTGGGTGATCCCCTCAGGGTGAGAGAATAATCACCATGCCCTTCCAAAGGACCTGACTAAGAGTCACTTGGAGAGAGCAGGACAGTGGAGTCCAAAATCCATTTCACAGAGATGCTAAGAAGGCTCGCTGGTAACAATGGCTGCCCTTCCTGATGGCCTAGTGGGTGGATGTTGGATGTGGCAGCTGCCCAATCCCCCCAGGAATCACTTCTTAAAGCTTCTGCCTTGCTGGAGGAGGAACAGGGAAGAAATTGTAAGTGCCACACTCCCGTGCCTGAATCCTTTAGGCAAACAAAACTAAATCCCAAGCCTGAACTGCCACCCTCTCCCTACTGCCCCCTGCCTGTGTGCTTGCTCTCCCCCTGGGCAATTCCCTCTACCGTCTTGGCCCCTGGACACCAGCCATCCCATTCCTGAATGTGTTGTTGAGGGTCTGAAAAGGAGCCCACAAGACTTTGTTTGTGATTGCAGTGATCAACAACATAGAAAACTCAAGATACACCACAATAAATTGAAAATATGATACAGCAAGATATCTGATAAGAGATCAACTTAACCAAAAGCTTCCTTTTACATTAAAAGTAGCCATATTTAAGAATAATAGAGACAAGATAAAATTCAAGATATCAAAACTATACAATACCTACATGTAGGCTTAAAAAAAAAACCTTTCCAGTGACCATGTATAAAAAAAATTAAACTTGACAAGTATATAAAAGTGACCTTATTAAGACAAGAGACCTAATATGTTCATAAGTAGGACAACTTGACATTGTGAAAATGCAACTTCTTCCCCAATTGACCTATACTCTTAATGTAGCCTAAGCTAAAATCCCAATGGATTATTAAGGATCTTAAAATCAATTCTAAAATTCATCTGTAAGAGAAAACAGGATATGATAGTTCATAAACCTTTGAATAAAGAACAGTTTTCAAGCCTGCTTGAAAGAAAATTAAATGTGGTAGAGTCTTTTCAAAGAATGGTTCTAGGATAAATTGATATCCATATGTAGAACAATGAAATTGTACTCTTACTTCAAACCTTATGCAAAAATTAACCCAAAATGCATTATGGATCTGAATGTAAGAGCAAAACCTGTAAACTCTTAAAAGAAAACAGCTGTAAATCTTCATGACCTTTGATAAGGTTTCTTACATATATCTCCAGAGCATAAGCAACCAAAGAAAAAAGAGACAAGTTGGGCCTTCTCAAAATTAAAAACTTGGTGCTTCAGAATACACAACCAATAAAATAAAATATGACCCACAAAATCAGAGAAAATATTTTGTCACATATCTAATAAGGGACTAATATTCAGAATATATAAAGAACTCTTCCAATTGAACAATAGAAAAACAACCCACTTAAAAATAAATTATTTGAATAGATGTTTCTTCAAATAATATGAACTTTTGTTCAACATCATCATCAGTCATTATGGAAATGGAAATCCCACCCACACTGAGATATCACTTCACATCCCGAGGATGTCTGTAATTTAAAGGATAAACAATAACAAGAACTGCCTGTGTGGAGCAGTTCAATCCCACATATATTGCTTGTGAGACTATAAAATGACTCATCTGTATGGGAAAAAGTAAAAGTTTGGAGCTACTTCAGAGAGTTAAACAGAGTTTCCGTAAGACACAACAATTCCACTTGTAGGTATATATACATATATCTACCTGTAGTGTGTATCCAAGAGAACTGAAAACATATGTTAACACAAAATACTACACTCAAATGTTCCTAACATCAGTACTCCTAATAGCAAAAAATAGAAATAATGCATATGCACACTAGCTAAGGAATGATAAACACAATACAGTGTATCCATATGATGAAATATCATTCGGCAACAAAAAGGCATGATGTACTGATACTTTCCACAACATGAATGAACCTTGAAAACATTAGGCTAAGTGAAAGAAGCATGTCACAGGATCATATGTTGTATGATTCCATTTATATGAAACCAACAGAACAGGTAACTCCATAGAAACAAAAAGGAGATTAGTGGTTGCTAGGGGCTGGGAGGTGGGGTAGTGAGAAGGAGCTGCTGATAGGTTCCAAGTTTCTTTTAGGCGTAACAAAAATGTTCTGGAATTGAATAAATAGCAGTAATCACTGTACAAGGTTATGGAATTGAGCAATGGAAGAAATTGGGTGTTACATATACTATAAACAATGTACCATGACCCACTGAAATGGTGCATTTTACAATGGTGAAACTTGTGATGTGGGAATTTAATCTTAATTTTAAAAGAGCACTTGTTTGCACAGATATCAACATGCCATATAAAACAATTATAATCAAAACAGTATAACATCGCCACAGGATCAGAGAAATGGAAGATCGTCTCAGTGGACCAAAGGGTACAAAAGTGAAGTCACAAACATATCACAGGTGTTGAATACATGCAAAGGTAACATCCTTAGCCAGTGAGGAAGGACAAATGGGGTGAAGAAGAGCTGGCTCCTAATTTAGAGGGGAAAGCCATGTTCCAACCCCACATTCCCAGGTATTAAATAAATTCCAGAGAGATTAAAGAACTAATTGCAAGACTAAAAATTTAGGAGAAAATAAAGAAAAACATACCTGTGGCCTGAAGAAAACTGCCTTAAGTAATACACAAAATTCAGAAAGATAAATAAACTTGAATTTATGAAAGTCAGAAACTCTGAAAAACAAAAAGGTCATAAGCAAGGTTAAAAGACGTTTCCCACATAATAACAGGTAAAATATTAATATCATGTATGTATATATCATATATCTAAAGAACTTCTGAAGTCAATAAGAAAAAGTCAAATAACAAATGTCCCTAAAGCCTTCCTCTCTCCTTTCTTTCATTACTTTCCAAATGATCCCAGCAGATTGTCCTCCACTTTGTAACAGTGAAGTCACTCTAACTCCTTTCTCCTGGTGTTAGCTGATCTCTGTCACTCAAACCCATCTGGCCCTTTTTCTTAGCAAAATCAATGTGGTCTCATTGGGCAGCACCACTGAATGCTGAGCCTTGCCCTGGAAAAAGTGAATTGCTGTTGTCATGAGACAGTAAGAGCGAAGACAGGCTGAATCTGAGTGTCCACTTCGTCCCTTCTCTGTGGGGACCCTAATGCAACTGGCATTCAGAGGACCTGAAAGAGGCGTGCTGCTCATGCTCAGCCATTTCTTGCCAGTCAGCTACTTAACTGGGGCTACAGCACAACCTCTGTGCAACAGTAAAATTACCTTTGAGTCTGGACAGATATCCATCTTCAGTAAGGAAGCGTCGTGCTGTGGTTTCTTTTTGCAAGCAGTGACATTGTTAAAGAATAGAAGGTTGCAGGCATGTCACACAGGAATTTTTGTCTTTGATTTAGAAGACCTTCCTATTTTGCCTTCCTGCTGAGGCAGGCTTTCTGCCCTCGACTGGTAATTCAGTGAGGTCCCTCTTTCTATCCACTCCCCTTTCGTCTCATCTGCTTTTTATGTTTCCATAAGCCATAGACTCAGGCCTTGTTTTATTACATTTCTCAGTGTGCTTAAATACCCCATACAGTTCCTCATCTCATTACCCAAGGCAGTGCACATGAGGGTAAAATGGCATTGTCAACATGATTTGTTCTGCTGCTGGATTTTGTAAAACACTCTGCACCAGGGCTTTCCCGGTGGATGTCAGAGAGGCAGGAATGGAACTGATGCATTTTAAAACCCTATCGATGATCACTGAGCAAATCAGACATTCTGACCGTAGATCCTGGCTAGGTCACATCAGGCTTAGCGTTAACTAGTAAGGCTCTTCATGTAATATTTCATGCAAAAGAAAATTCTATGGCTAAAAACAAATGGAAAAATTGGAAACAATTGGCTTATTATAAGTAGGCAAGAAGATATTATTACTGAACTGGTCCTTTCTGTTATCCCTTTTAGGGTCATTGTTACTACCACGGACATGTGCAAGGATATGATAGTTCAATGGTCAGTCTCAGCACCTGTTCTGGTCTCAGGTAAGTGGCCATGACCATGGCAGCTTTGGTCCTAAGCACATAAACCACATACTACCTCTGTCTTTTCCTACTCACTCTAAAGCACTCGGGGGGACTAATGAGGCTCAAAGCACTGTTGCCCCTTGACCAAGGTAAAATAGGGGAGGACCTTGCTTGACTACTGGCAATAACATGGCTTACCCAAGATCTTATCTTCTCTCCACTGCTCCTCTTTGAAGGCCTCTCTCAGGCCTGCTGGGCCTGAGTTTCAGAACCCAGTGTTGTGGGAATTATCTTCCATTTCTATGCCTGGGAAGCTTAATAACTCTCCGTTAAAAAGGATAGGATGGTACATATTAATGTTGCAGCTGCTGGCTTAATAAAAGCTTAAAAGGGCCTCCTCTTATTAGAAAACAAATAAAGGAATTAATTTAACAGCATCCAAGGTGAGTTGGATATAAGCATGCGTTGGTAGGGGTTTGCTGCTGTGCTGTGCTATGCAATGCTATGGGCACAGTGCAAGAAACAATTACCTTTTGTTGCTGGACAACAACCTTAGGCTTTCCTCACAGCCCTCTTCCCTCCAAATCACAGTTTTTAGTCATCAGCCGGCTCTTCTACGCTCCCTCGGAAAACCATTTGTCTGACAAATTTCCAGCTGCTTCAGCCTTTTAACTCAGGTTGTCTATTGAGTTTGTGAGCTAACAGCTTGTATCCTCACAGTCTTGGGTGGTTTGGGCTCATGGATCAGGAGGAAAGAGAGAGAAAGAGCTAGAAGAAAGTTCCAGTTGGGGTTAAAAAGCAAGATTGCACTCTGTATGTCAGTAGTAAGTATAATGCCCTTGTGAGTTCTGTGTGGGATTGTGGTGAATGGAAACACATAATACATGTTGTAACACATTCACAAAACAAAATAACACAGCCTCACTGTGCATACCTCCAATGATGCAATCACACATACAGCGCAACACAGGTGCACTACACAACACACACAATATGACATCTTCTCTGTCTCATGCTGAGATTTGCCTTCTGTGCAGCATCCTCTTCGGTTCATGAGGGGCTGTGCATTCTTTTAATAGCTATAAAGCCCCCCATTTCACAGATGTGCCACACTATCTCCTCATTCCCACCGGATGTATACGTAAGTGATTTCCGGGTTTCCTTAGGTGGACCCAGTGCTTTGCTCACTACATGACCCTGGCAGTCTGTCTGCTGGGAATTCCGCAGAGGAGGTTAAGGAAGGAGAGGAAACATGGTAAGGAGGATGTGAGCACTTTTACTGTTACCAAGCACAGTCCTGCCACTTTGTTCTTCAAAGACTACCTTGGCTTCCTGTCTAGCCGGCAGAGAGGCAGAGAATGCGAGCTCCACTTATATCTGATTTACTTACTGTTGCAATCTAGGAATATATACACAGAATTGTTCCCCTCACTGCTTCACCCTACTCCAACCCCACATGGCAAAAATGGCAACAAACTGGAGTATGCACCTCCTACCTCTCATTCCAGGCATGGGAAACAGTCAGGAATTGGAGCACGCGTTCATCTGTTGTTATAGGAGTAGTCAGACCATACACAGACCACACACTTTTCATCTTGATTTTGTTACCTAATCCCATCTACCTCTCTGCGTCAGTAGATATAGACCAAAATCATTGCATAAATACAGCACACATATCTGCACACAGCATTGCTTTTAGAAAGCATTTCTAATATCTGTTGAACTTTAACATGTCGGCTACTCTGAGAAGTGAAGGAGATGCCTTGTTTGAGTTTGTTTCTCTCCAGTTTCTGTTTTATTTCGTAAAGCTCCTTTGGGCACATCTCTGGTGCCAGCACTCTCTAGGTCTTGGGGATTCAGCAGTGAACATAAGGCGTCCCTCCAGGAGTACATTCTAGGAGGTAGCAAAGAACAGACAGCACATGTGCAACCGGAAGGACCAGGAAAGGGAGGAAGCTGAGGTGCGGGACAGGAAACACCAGAGGAGGTCAGAGAGCTTTGGATGGAAGTGAGACCTACGCTGAGCCATCAGCAGGAAGCTTCCTTCAGGCCAAGGGAGTAGTGTGCACACAGGCTCGGCACGTAGCAGCAGGTGGCTGGTGTGGCTGGAGCGGGGTGGGGAGGCAGTGGAGGAAGATGAGGTCAGTGGGGGCACATAAACGCAGATCATGTGGGGTGTGAGGGAGAGCAGGTGTCCTGTGGCCCCTGACTATGATGGAGCCACGTAAGCAGTGAGCCCAGATTTCCACAGGGCTGCTCCAGCTGCCAGGTGGAAGTAGAGTGTGAGGGATGTGTACAGAGCACGAGCTCAGTGAGGAGACTTTGCAGTGCTCTCAGGGAGAATGCTGGGGGCTGCACAGCAGTGGCAACGTCTCCGAGGGTGGGAGACATAGATGCCTCTTGTAACTTTTGCTTGTGTCACAGAGCCACTTCCCCAAGGGAGTGTAAGCAAAAATATACAAGAGCACCGAGTTGCTGTGACTGCAAGAAAGATGGGGCGTCCATGGCCTGGCAGGGTCTCCGACACAGGCACAGCTCCTATACACATGCTGGATGCTCAGAGGAGAAAGGCTGGAAGTGATCATGGGGCGAACAGGACAGCTGGTCATCCTCAAGGAGTGAGGTATAGAAAGGAGGACATTTAAACACTGCAAAGTTATCTTGGGAGGCTATGGGGAGGTAGTGACTGCAGGGGTTGGCCAGGTCTCAGCTCTGGGATGGAGAAGCCAAGAACATTCTGGAAGAGGTTTGGTTGGGGTAGGATCTAAGGAGGGACCATGAGTCCCAGTGGGAAGGCTTGGTGCAAAGGATGTGGGGATGGAATTCATTAGAAGATTAAAGAGTTTGTGAGGTAAAGACCCAGTTTTTGTGGAAAACCAGAGCTTGGGCTCCTGGAGGAGACAGATGGGGATGGGATGAGGACAGACCTGCAGCATCTGCAGTGAAGGTGAAGTTCAAGATGGGTAGGTTGAGACCAGCACATAGTGTTCAAGAGCCATGCAGTGAACTAGCTGTGAGGCAGTGATCAAGTGGCTGACCTCTCTGAGCCCCAGTTCTCAGTGAAAATGGAGATAAAGTCTCCAGCCGGCATGATGATTTTGATGATAATGCAGTCACCTATAGGCATAGCCCTGTGCCTATCTCTAGTGAGAAGCCGATCGAAACCCCTCAGCCTCAAGCTGGATGTGGCAGCTCATGCCTGTAATCCCAGCACTCTGGGAGGCTGAGGCCAGAAGATCCCACGTTTGAGACAATTTAGAGCCAATTTAGCAACTTAGTGAGACTCTGTCTCAAAACATAGAGTAAAAGGGGGTGGAGGGTTGGGGATATAACTCAGGGCAAAGGCCCTGGTTTTAATCCCCTGTATCACAACCAAACAGACAAACAAAAACTATTCTCCTGGGGCAGCCTCTAGTCCTCCTGGACAGGTCAGGGAGGTGTGGGTGTGCTGAGCTAATTCTGGGCAAAGCTACACTGCCCCTTAGGGAGGCCAGGCCATGAAGGGCAAGGCCATGACAGTGAGGACCACACACATGTGGAGATCAGAGTGACCTGCTCCTGAGTTTTGTGCAGTGTGCTTGAAGGTGATTCTCTCACCCACACATGGAAAGGGGAAACCCATGCTATCATGTTGTATCTCTCTGGGGCCTGAAAGATGGATCTGTTTGTTTTAGATCATTTATTGCAGGCTGGGTACTTACAGGCTTCAATTTAATGTGAAGGTCAGCGTATTGAAAAAGGAAAGAAGGCTGGGGGTTTAGCTCAGTGGCACAGTGCCTGCCTGACAAGCACAAGGTCATGAGTTCAATTCCCGGTACTGGAAAAAAAACCATAAATAAATAAATATAAAAAGGAAAGAAAAAATTAATTCAAGCTAGGTAGAATTAAAGCAAAATAACATGAAGGTAGACATTTGCTACTGAAAGGTCCAGATGGCTTCAGGTACGGCGAGACCTAGGGTACAAAATGGTGTAACCAGAATCCATTTTCTCTCCCTCTCACTCCCTCCCTCCCCGCCTCTTGTTTCTTCCTGCTTCAGCATTGTTTCCCTTCTCAGACACTGTCTTATCTTGATGACCCCACAAAATATCACAGACTAAGTGGCTTAAACAATATAAATTTATTTTTCACATTACCAGAGGCTGAAAGTCCAAGGTCAAGGTGCCGACAAAATAGGTTTCCATCAGAGTTCTCTTCTCATGGCTTGTGAGTGGTCACCGTCATGCTGTATGCTTACATGACTTCTTCTGATATGGACAGAGAGAGGAAGCTTGCTGCTTCTTCCTCTTATCAGCCTTTTCTGGGATTCTCCCTCAAGAGCTCATCTAAACCTACTCACCATCCAAGATCCCCTCTAATACCATCATGTTGGGATTAAAACTTCAGCATATGGATTGGTGGTGTGGGGACAAATATTCAGTCTATAACAGTCATGGCTAGTATACTGTATGGTAGGGTAGGGTAGGGTAGGGTAGGGTAGGGTAGGGTAGGGTAGGGTATTATATTTTGGTGTCAAGGAGACTGCCAGAAATGCTAGGTTCACAGTCTCAGATGTCAATCAAGCAGGAGAATGAGGCCCTTTCTTCCAAGGTCACCAAAGATCCTCTGAATGTATCTGTTACTGTCTCTGCCTGTCCCCGAAACAGTCACAGTGGCTGGAGGGGGTACTGTGCTCTGGCTTAACAAGTTCTGTGTCTGCAGCTTGATCTGGCTGAGGGGGATGTGCCTTGAGCCCACAGGCCAGGCTCAGGGAAAGGGTGAAGGCCCCAGAGAAAAGCAGTGGGCTTTTACCAGTAAAACGACAGATGAGAACCAGAGACATTCAGGAGCAAATAATCCTTCTCCAGCCATGGCAGATCATTAGCACTGAGGATGTCCATCAGTGGGGTTCTCCAAGATTGGTGCCAGTCTCCGGGAATTTCTACCAGAAAACCAAGTTCCAGATGGGTAAAGAGAAAAGGTGTCTCCAGGATGCTCCTGACAGCTCCTTTTTACCTTCAGTAAAGCAGTTTTTGAAG